TTTTGATGCTGTTGTTTTGATGATTTTGCTGTGATGATGTTCTTGTTGGTTTGATGTTGTTTTTCTTGGTCTGATAATGCTGTGGTGATGTTTGTGTCCTCAGCTCTCAGGATTCACGTGTCCGAGGCGACTCGTGAGGTTCTAAAGGAGTTTAACTGTTTTCAGCTTGAATACAGAGGAGAAATCGAGATGAAGGGAAAAGGAAGCATGAAAACCTTCTGGCTGCTGGGGGAGGAGGAGACAGGGTCACACAGAGGAGAGGAGGAGACTAAATAGAGGACAGCAGTGGACGAGGTGGTGAAGGAGTGGCGGGACAGCGTGAATGAGAGGACACTGACTGAAGATGGACTAAAGGAGGAGAAACAATTCTAAAACCTCCTCTTGTATTGGACGTTAACCTGTGACATCATTCTCTCTGTTCAGGATATGAAGGTGCTTTTTGACTTAAACAATAGAGGGTTAGAAGTTTATTGTGCAATTCTCTGTGTATCTTTGTCATTGATTCATCTTTACTTTATTATTTGTGGGTGGAGCTTCTGCATTTAAAGGCCATGTTTTTATCTGAGTTATTGTGTATTTGTGTGTAAACTTTGTAAAAGTTGTGGTGTGTAGCTCCCATGCTCCAAAGTGTTAGAAAACATATATATATAATGTTTAAGAGTAGCTGCATATTAGGGTTGTTAATAGATAAAATTCATCTTATATTTTGAAATTCATATCTCATGTCATAAGTAACGAGTAATCACTTTAGAAAGCGTGTATTTTTGATGCTGTTTGTCACTCCCTCCAGAAAATACACAGGACCACAAATAGTTACTGATGGATTTATTCCACTTATGGACTCTTCACAGTCTTCATACACATTTGTATTTTAAACACAAACTCCACATGTGATCATGTTGGGGGGGGACATGTTGAACTACGACTCTTCCTGCTGTCCTCATTCACTTTGCTCTCAACTCTCCATCTCACATCTCGCTTGGACGCTTTCCAATCCACTGTCTTTTAGGGGCAACGTGGTGGTCCTCTGCAGGGTAGATGTTGAGATGGAAGTAGCCTTGCAGCTAGCTTAGCCTAGCAGCTAGCAACATGTTCCGGGCACTATCAGTCCGAAAGTGATCCGTTTTGTGTTTAACACGTGGAGAAATTCCGCTGCACAGTTCTGTGCTGTGTTTGTATTACTTCCAATGGTAACAATCCATCTGATGCTGGATGTCGTTGTTTCAATTCAATTCATTTTATTTTGAATAGCCCAAAATCGCAAATTACACATTTGCCTCAGAGGGCTTTACAGTCTGTACACATACGACATCCTCTGTCCAGAAACCCTCCATCGGCACAGGAAAACTCCAACAAATGAAAACCCTGCCAAGGGGAACAAAGGGAAGACAAATAAGAGGATCAGAGGAGGATCCGTCTCCTGATGGACAGACTACAATGATGTCCTGTGGACAGAATGAACAACGTAAAAGATGCACAATACATTCGATTTATACAACGGAAATGATAATAAATAGAGTAGTAAGCAGGTGTACTGCAGGAACAACCACCATCACACAGAACCACCATCCACAGCAGCCCGTGGGGAGGGAAAGCACTTTAGGAAAGGGTAATGTTTGTTTATGATGACAGTTATAGTATATGATTAATATTTCAAATAATAAGAATAATGATGATGGCAGCAGCAGGTGTCAGCAGGGCCACGGCAGGAACAGGATCCAGATAGAACCATGAAAACCTGTGAGGCGAAAGAAACAGTGATACGGATTCATGTTTACAACAATAGAAATATCAATGATGTTAGAAGCGGTAGATGTTCGCGGGCCACGCAGGAGTCAGGACCAGGGTCCAGAAGGAACTACGATCTACGGAGACCTGCGAGGCGAGAGAGAACAAAAAGCTCCATGGAAGAAGCTGATTAGTAATGTGCATTAATGAGTTGTGGACTATTGTAGAAGGAGAGAGTGAGAGAGGAGCTTGGTGTGTCCTAAGAAGTCCCCCGGCAGTCTAAGCCTATTGTCAAGGATGCGTGGGGGAGGCAGGACTCAAACCCAGACTTCTCGGAAAACAAAAGACTTTAATAGTCAAAAGGCAAAAACACACAGGAACCAGGGGAAAAACAGCAGGCAGGAAACTACGACCATCCACGACAATGACAATGACGCGACAAGTGACACAAGAGACACACGGCTTAAATACACAAGGGAGGTGCAGGTGATTGGACACAGGTGGAAGCTATTAGACGATCACAGGGGATGACAGGACAAGGCAGGAAGTGAAGTTACCCGGGGACACGAGTGGCAGAAAACTACAAAATAAGACAGGAAGTGAACCACACCGTGACACCTATAGCAGCTTCACTAAGGGCTGGTCCAGGCTCACCTGAGCCAGCCCTAACTATAAGCCATATTAAAGAGGAACGTTTTAAGCTTTATCTGAAAAGAGCTGACCGAATCTGCCCCCCGGGCTGAAAGTGGAACCTGGTTCCACCAAAGAGGAGCTTGATAACTGAAGGCTCTGGCCCCCAGCCTACTTCTTAAAACCACAGGAACAACAAGTAACCAGCATCTCTGGAGTGCAGTTGCCTTGTAGGGCAATACAGTGTTACAAGCTCATTAAGATACGACGGTGCCTCACCAGCAAGTGCCTTATAGGTGAGGAGAAGTACCTTAAAATCTACTCTTGATTTAACAGGGAGCCGGTGCAGAGAAGTTAATACAGGAGTGATGTGATCCCTTTTCTTAGTTCTTGTTAATACACCTGCTGCAGCATTCTGAATCAACTGGAGAGGCTTAAGAGATTTACAAGAGCAGCCTGATAACAAAGAATTACAGTAATTCAGTGGCGCTGCCTTACACCTGAGTTACTACTTAATATCTGAATCATTTCTGTCAAATCAATTTAATATATTATACATCTTTAATGTCAGATACGTCACAGATAGACCCCCAGTGGTGCTCAAGCACTTTCCCTTTTCCTCTGGATGAGAAAAGTGCCCCTTCTGCTGGAGCACAACTCGTTCTTCATTCATCAATATTTAACAACAACAATTACTCTCTCAATTCCCCCCAAATGTGTTTTGGTATCTGACCAGCATTTATTTGAGTTCTTGTGAGAATTTCGTCCCGACATGCTCCGCGGCGCTCACAAGCCCCGCCCCCCTCCTCCACGTGCGGTGCTGAGCGCCAAACGGATGCAGCGTCCAACAGGTGATGACGGTGTTTGTGAAATCCCCCCGACGTTGAGTGATAAATTAACCACATTAGGGCCGCTGAGAACATTACGTAACAACTAGTGCGACGTTTCCTAAAAAATAAACAACTCACAAAATCCGTGTTTTAAAGCCTTGTCCAGCTGTTTACTGACGTTTGTCATGTTTAATGAAGACAGACAAATGAGACAAGTTCGTTTAAACACTAGTTTTCAATTATTGAAATGAAAGGTAGGTCAGACAACAGACAACAGAGCCGTGTGCAAAAGAAGGCTGGCTAAGGGACGTGAGATTAGCGCTGGTGCTACAAGCACACGTGCTGGACGCCCGCCTCTGGATATTCCTGGATATTGGATTTCTCGGGTTGATAGACCGGACAACACAAAGTTAGCCAGCTTGTCGCCAGGAATACCCAGAGGCGGGCGTCCAGCACGTGTGCTTGTAGCACCAGCGCTAATGTTCACGTCTTCAACTTGGACCTCTTCCACACGCACGCGGTGCTCAATCAGTCTTAAACAATTTAAAACTTCGTCGTCTATGTCTACATCTTGAAGAGCACTTATCCGCCCTAGTATTTCCAAAAACCCTCAATATGTGTCAAACTCGTATCTGCAGAAAACCCATGTTGATCGATTTGATCTGCTAATGCTAGCATGCTACCTAGGAGCCCACCGGTCCCTTAGACAGCCTTCTTTTGCACACGGCTCTGTTGTCTGTTCTGAATGTTAGATGTAGCCACGCCCCCTGATTTGCATATAAGAACGTGAAATGTAAAACGGCGTTATGAAATAAAAGACTCTGGAAATGAAAAACGGCATTATGAAATAAGTCTCTGGAAATGAAAAACGGCATTATGAAATAAAAGACTCTGGAAATGAAAAGTGGCATTATGAAATAATTAAATGTATTTAATATTTATGTATTTATTGCCTCATTTATTTATTTCATGATGTATTTCAAATGCATATTTCATGTATTTACGTATTTATTCATTTATTTAATTTTGACTAAAACGGCATTCCATAATTTCGGGCTATACAAAATAAAATTAATTGAATTGCCTCCGGGGCGGCACGGTGGCGTGGTAGTTAGCACTGTGGCCTCACAGCAAGAAGGTCCTGGGTTCAACTCCGCCCAGTGGCCTTTGTGTGTGGAGTCTGGATGTTCTCCCCGTGTCTGCGTGGGTTCTCTCCGGGTACTGCCCGTAGGTGTGTGAATGTGAGTGTGAGTGGTTGTTTGTCTCTGTGTAGGGCTGTGTAGCCCTGCGATTGGCTGGCGACCAATCCAAGGTGTACCCCGTCTCTCGCCCGAAGTTGGCTGGGATAGACTCCAGCCCCCCCCGCGACCCTGTGTGCAGGATAAGCGGGTTGATGATGATGGATGGATGAATTGCCTCCTCTACGTCATTAATACATGATAAATTGCGCTCACTCGACTGGACGTTCACACTCGCAGTTCAGGATTGGATGTAGGTTTCCTCTCTTGTCAATGGCCCATACGTACGTCACTCAGCGATCTCTATCAGCTGATTGGTCAGGTGTCTGTCATGTCAGTGCGCATGTCCGTTATGCAGCTTGTAGTCAGACGGTGTGACAGAGTTGGACCCAGAGTGAAAGCAGCGCCGAGAGAAGTTTTGAAAAACACCCCTTTACCGACGGAACCGTCTCACACGGAGGCCCCAACACTACCGGGAGCAACACGTACACCGGGACCCCGGTAGAAACCGTTATAACCCGGAATCCCGGTCCTCCGTAGCTGCGTGGGGCCCGGAGAGCAGCAGCCGCAGCAGATGGAGACCGTACCGGGAAAAGCGAAGCCTCAGGGGCGGCTAGTGGTCTCCACTCAGCTGGACGCTAAGGACGAGCTGGAGGAGGTAGGCTGCCCGGGAATAACGGCTGCAGCCCGGCTACAGGCTGTACCCCGGTCATTAGTGGCTAGCGAGCCGGGCAACCATTACAAAGAGACGGGATGGAGCTACATGATGGCTAGTATGCTAGTTAGCACGACTAGCATTGTTAGCTTAGCACAGTGTTACTTACTGTGTGCGTGGGAGCGTGGGTGGGGGCGAGGGGGCCTGCGGCGACATGAAGCCACTCGGCCCACGGACAGTTAGCCTAGCATGCTAATTCTACGTAAACATGGCTAATTCTACGTAAACATGGATGGGACCAAAAGTTGAAAGAAGCGCATGCGCGGTGCTCATGTTTCACATGTGAGAAGTAGAGGGAGATTGTGACAGTATAAATATGTGTACTAGCTTTGTTTACATGTAAATAATAACTACTGAGATTCCTCCAGACCCCCCCCCCGAGACTGTAAACCCATGGGAAAGTGTTGTATTTAGATTATTCCTGGTTGTGCGTTTCAGAGATTGGAGCGTTGTGTTGGTCTCGTTCAGGCGTTGACCAATGGGCTTTCAGAGAGGGAAGCCAACGACGCACTCACTGCCAACGTAAGACACGCCCCCTATTACTAGTACTAAGTACTGTGACTGTTACTTTGGCTCTGACACTGTGACAAATACTGTCCTGCAGGTTTGTAAAGGTCCTCAGCAACATGAGGAGGTGTGTCTGGGTCTGTTCTCTCTCGTCCTCACAGAGCCCACCCAGGCCCAGAGGGTGAGACACCACGCATCATTATTAATGTGTGACATCACTGTGACTTCGCTGTGACATCACTGAGTTTGTGCTGACAGTGTTACAGAGACCTGACGCTGCTCAACAGAGATGGAATGAATGTGGTTCTGGTGAAGATCAACCAGATCCTGATGGAGAAGTTCCTCAAGCTGCAGGACGTCCCCAGAACACAGGTAAACAAACGCAAGTATACATGTAGACACACACAGGTAAACAAACGCAGGTATACATAAAGACACACACAGGTACACATATACACACACACACACATATATACACACAGGTGCCTGGACCTTAAGGACTCCAGGTGTTAACTGAGGTGATGTTCCACAGCTGGTGTGGCTGGTCAGAGAGCTGGTGAAGAGCGGTGTGATTGGGGCAGACGGCGTCGTCATGACGCTGCTGAAGCAGATCGCAGGTCAGATATCTATATGTGTGTTTATATATGTAAACCTGTGTGTCTATAAATAGTGGTCCTACCCTCTCATTTGGTGTCACTGATGCAGGGGGAGACATTTCCACTAAGAACCTCTGGCTGGCTGAGAGCGTCCTCGACATCCTGCTGGACCAAAAGTGAGTTTCACCAGACGTGCTCCTGAAAGTACTCTCTGCGGATCAAACATTGATGTAGTGGCTGATAGCTTTGGTTTTAGCTTTAATTACATGAAGTGATTTACAACAAATATTTGAACTGCTACTGTATAAGCGATTACCACTGTTGAAAAGCACTTGTTTTTGTTTAAAAGCGGTGTTTCCACTACTGTTCAATAGGAGGGTGTCCCTGTTCTTACTTTACAATTATCCACTGATCTCTGCGAGTTCCGTCCCCATGGACACCAGCGCGCGTGTCATTATTGATGCTTTAACCAAATATCTACCCAATCGATTTATGGTAGTCATCCTTGGGAATATATCTAGTTGGCTCCGTGCTGGTCTGTGAACACTGTCCTGATCGTAGGGAATGGGTGTTGAAGAGTGGGATGCTGATAGCGATGTCTGTCTACACCTACCTCCGCCTCATCGTCGACCACGGAGCTCCCAACCTGCTGATTCTGCGCCAGAAAGAGGTTGACTACTGCATCTCCATGCTGAGGGAGAAGGTAAGGAATGAGGTTTGAATTGATCTTCCAGGCGGTTACTGTGACGACCCTTTCTCTCTGTGTAGTTCATGGAGTGTCAGATCATCGGCAGAGATCTGGTTCGTCTGATGCAGAACGTCGCTCGGATCCCAGAGATGGAGCTCGTGTGGAAGGACCTGCTCCACAACCCACAAGTCCTCAGCCCTCAGTTCACTGGTAAACTACACTACCCACAACCCCGACTTCACTGGTAAACTACACTACCCACAACCCTGACTTCACTGGTAAACTACACTACCCACAACCCCGACTTCACTGGTAAACTACACTACCCACAACCCTGACTTCACTGGTAAACTACACTACCCACAACCCCGACTTCACTGGTAAACTACACTACCCACAACCCTGACTTCACTGGTAAACTACACTACCCACAACCCTGACTTCACTGGTAAACTACACTACCCACAACCCCGACTTCACTGGTAAACTACACTACCCACAACCCTCAGCAGGTTTGGGCCTCACCTGTAATCTGATATGTACCCAGGTGTTCTCCAGCTGCTGACCGCTCGCACCTCCAGGAAGTTTCTGGCCTGTCGTCTCACTCCGGACATGGAGACAAAGCTGCTGTTCATGACCTCCAGGGTACGTACCAGCGTGCACGCTCGCTATATCGTAGGGTGAAACTCTCGATCAGAACACAGTACGCCTCTGGCCACTAACACGACGTCAAAGAATCAAGAAGGATTCAGTCTGACTATCTAGTTGGGTTTCTTGAATATTCTGCCCTTGTTTCATTTGGCCGGGGCTTTTTGCGTCTGGGGGAGGGTCCATTTGTGTTACAGCCTTCAGTAGCGACGCCCATTTTTTCTGTCCGCCAATCCGCTCGATTGTGCGTGCGTTGGGAAAGGATGAAAAAATGTCACTTGATTAATGCAGTATTTTCAGTTATTAGCATCAATTAATTGCATCATGTGCGGAATTCATTAAATCATAAAAAGCTAGGGTATTGTGCCCTTTATTTTAAAGTGATTTTATCAATAATATACGAGAGCCACTCAACAGCAAGTTACAGGGATGCAAACAGCGCGTTCAACCATAGCGACACAAACTCAGAAGAGCAATTTCTACAAGTTGCTATAGATAAGAGCCATGCTATACTTCGTTAGTGTTTTTAGTCGAGGAAGAGTCTGAAGAGGTGTGTCTTTAGGCTCATAGTACATCAGAGGAACGCTGTGGTCTAACGCTAAGTCATGGCGATCTTCCCCCCCGACGTGATGCCGCGCTCCTATGGAAGGATCTACTGGCACTGCGTTGGTGAACGACCTGGTCGCTGGTCTAACCTCACTCTCGTACCCCTTTTCCACCAAGGCAGAACTGGTGCTGGTTCAGAGCCAGAGCCTAGTTTCAAATGGGTTCTTTGGTTTTCCACCACCAAAGCACCGGCTCCCAACCAGTGACAGTGGTTCTTCAGTAGCACCATCTCATTGCTGGTCTAGATCAGTGTTTTTCAACCTTTTTTGCGTCAAGGCACGCTTAAGACACAGAACAAATCTCACGGCACACCAACAACCGGAAATATGATATGAAAATCAATCCCAAACATAGTTTCAGCATGAGCATAATATACTCTACGAAATGAGGGAAACGCGTGTTCTATTTGTTGTGTTTTATTAAACTTAACATCATCCTAATGCCAAGATGGCACCGGCTTTATGCCCAGTATCTCTTACGCCTGGTTTATGCTTCTGCGTTTTCACAGCGACGCAGACGCAAGACCGCGTGTCCCTTGCGTCGCTTTTCACACCTCCTTGCCTCCTTACGTGTGTCGAGACGGCGCAGCCTCCCGCAGCGCACACGGCTGTGATCGGTCCGCTAACTACGTCCTTTACGGAGTCTCACGTTTCCGCTTTCACAGCCCGATACCACCATTATTAACACGAAGAATGTTTACGAGAGAACGGAGCAGATTGAAGAACTTCTGTCGGAAGAAATGCGTAAATATGAGCGCTTCTACAAGCCGCCATTGGCGGGTTTAGAAGCGGGTTGGATTCACGGAGGGAGATCGCCGCAAACGCCGGTTTGCCGGTCGAGAGGAACAAACTTTTAGAACCATGAATTGACATGAATGCGTCGACGCAGAAACATCCGCCGGCCTTAAATCTCACTTTTTTAAATTGTCGCCTCAGCAAATCTGCCTATTAATTAGGCTGCGTAGCGCCACCCACAGGCAGAGGGGAGTATTGAGCCTTCACACCAGCAACAGCGCGACACACACACACACACACACACACACACAAGTTGGCTCTTCTTTTTTTTTTCACCAATGAAGTGACAGTATGTAAAAAATGTTGTTTTTTTTACGGCACACTGGTTAAAAAACACTGAACCGCTCACGTCAGCGGCTGGGGGCGGGGTTACCGTGACCAAAGACGAGAGAAACTTTGTGTTCATACCGTACATACCGTTACTCTCGCTTGTAATCGCCGTCTGTACGAATAAAGGCGAGCCGCGCGAACATGTTTGAGCCGCCGTGTTTGGATGTCGGTCCGCAAAGCCATGAACATCAATAGCAAAGCAGCGGCCGCCATTGTTGATGATGTGTTTGTGTTTGGCGGCGCCGCGCTAACGTTGCTGGGAAAGATGGGACGTGACTGTGACGTAGGACTTGGCTCTGCGCTCAGTGCGCCGGCTCTTCAGCCGGTGGAACAGCAAACCGCTTCTTTGGAGGCTCGTCGGTTGAACCAACTCCGAACCAGCAGCAGCTACTATTCTATATGCGAATGTAAAAAGTGTGCTTAGCGCCTGTACTGACTATATTGCATGAATAAAATAGGCTACAACAACAGCTTCATGCACTGCTTTGATTATTATATCGTTTCATGCCAATGAAAAGTTCTGTGTTTACAGCTCAGATCGCTCGCTTCAATGTCGCTACTGTAAAAACCTTCAGTTTCAATCTCTGAATGAAGCCTGACATGTGGGACAAGAATCACCACCTTAAATTTCCTGCACAAGTCTTGATCGGCACTCGTTTATTGTTGTTGTTCATTTCTCCGCTCTGAGCAGAGAGAGAGAGAGAGATCTGTGGCCGTTAGTTAATTTACTCATTTTTGTGCTGGTAATATGTTGTTAAATAGGTTTTAACCTAACTACTACTACGGGTAACTTATTTATGTCTCGTTGTATTCATTTGTCCTGTTACTGACGCGTCTAATGCGCAACCAGATATTTGAATATATTCGAATACGTGTGTTTTTTTAAAGCGAGTATTCGGACGTCATTTTTGAGCAATTTTGACGGCTCTGGTATCTCGTTACCTCCGTGTCCAGGTGCGTTTCGGGCAGCAGAAGCGCTACCAGGACTGGTTCCAGAGGCAGTACCTCTCCACAGCAGAGAGCCAATCACTGCGCTGTGATTTGATCCGCTACATCTGTGGTGTGGTCCATCCGTCCAATGAGGTACTGAGCTCCGACATCCTTCCCCGCTGGGCCATCATTGGCTGGCTCCTCACCACCTGCACGGTAAGGGGGCGGGGCATTGGGCCGTCAATCATCATCTTTTAAAAATCAATAACCAAACTGGATGGATTAACTTTTGTCTCCAGTCAAACGTTGCAGCTTCCAATGCCAAACTGGCTCTCTTCTATGATTGGCTGTTCTTCAATCCTGAAAAAGACAGCATCATGAACATAGGTGACCCTTCCACTTATTATATAGATTATGAACCTACTTCTAGTTAATACTAATACCCGCTAATACTAACATAATGAACAGTAACTAATACATGTAAGTAAGTAATGAATTATGCTGTTTCTTGGTGTTTTGTGTCAGAACCAGCCATCCTGGTGATGCATCACTCCATGAAACCTCATCCTGCCATCACCGCTACACTGCTGGACTTCATGTGCAGGGTAACACACACACACACACACACACACACAGATATGAGGGGGCGATTAGGACTTAACTATCTATCTATGTCCTTCTGTGTCACATACATACATATAAAATACTTCTGAGCATACAGGTATTGGGGTATACATCGTACAGTACCTGTTTACATTGACTTGAGTTCCATATCATTGCGCACTCAAACATAACCGTTTTTTTAGCGATCGCCAGAAAAAAACCCTCCGTATTTAGAAGGATTCTGACGGCATGTGACGCCATCGCTTTCCAAGTAAAGAAACTGATTCATTGACCCTGAAACGGGCCGCGGCCACCCGAACAGCTGTTCGTCATTGGCCAACTGGCCGGCGGGTTAGCGTGCTAGCGTGTTAGCTCGTCGTGGCTGCTAGCAGTGCCACCAGAGGCGCCACAGACTTTGCAATAAATCGTTTTCTGATTTAACTTACAACCAAAAAGCCTCCAAACAGACTGGACTCTTCTGTTGGGCCCAAGTTGTGTTGGAGCATCTCTGGTCTCCTTGTTCCTCCTTGTCGCTCTTTTCCCTGTTTCCATGTAGCAGCAGTTACTTCTTGTTGTGAGCTTTACCCAGCATGCAGTTCGGCGGGGTCATTTTTATAAATGTACAATTATTAGTGTCACAAATAGTTTGTGTCACAATCTGTAGTGTTTTACCCGGTTATAGATCCTCGGTCCCTTCTCCCTGTGGAAAGCGGGGGCGGGGCTTATGCAGCGCGCGCACACAGGTGAAGAGAAGCCGCGAAGCTAACGAAGCTAACGAAGCTAAAATCTCACCTAAAACAACAACCTGAACTACGGTCGGTTCCTCCGGACTGCTCGTTCGCCTCTTTGGCCGCAGGACGGTTCCTCCCGGGCCGGCTCCGTCTCCAATCCGACGCTTCGCCCGCTGCGTGTCGCTTGCACTTATTATTTTTGTTTTAATTAGGATATTTTTCACATTCCAATTCTAATGTCCAATTTCCAAAACGTTATTTGTACTTTGAACCCGCGTACTTTATTACTATGCTATTGTATTGTTATGTTATCGATGGCATAAAATGGTCTGAAAATTGCAATAATATCACAATAAATGTTGGTGCAATAATCACACAACAAAAATAGACATTGATTGATGATATCGTGACAGCCCTACTCAACACACGTAAGACAAGTAGCTCCGACCGCGGGGCGCTTCGTGATCACGTGAAAAACTAAATTCTGCCGCCTGCCGAAGAGCGACGTCAGCTGTTACGACGTGACGTCGTTTAAAGCGCCGTATGATACTGTGCAGCTAAGCGCCGTATGATACTGTGCAGCTAAGCGCCGTATGATACAGTGCAGCTAAGCGCCGTATGATACAGTGCAGCTAAGCGCCGTATGATACAGTGCAGCTAAGCGCCGTATGATACAGTGCAGCTAAGCGCCGTATGATACTGTGCAGCTAAGCGCCGTATGATACTGTGCAGCTAAGCGCCGTATGATACTGTGCAGCTAAGCGCCGTATGATACAGTGCAGCTAAGCGCCGTATGATACAGTGCAGCTAAGCGCCGTATGATACTGTGCAGCTAAGCACCGTATGATACAGTGCAGCTAAGCGCCGTATGATACAGTGCAGCTAAGCGCAGTATGATACTGTGCAGCTAAGCGCCGTATGATACTGTGCAGCTAAGCGCAGTATGATACTGTGCAGCTAAGCGCCGTATGATACTGTGCAGCTAAGCGCCGTATGATACTGTGCAGCTAAGCGGCTACCTTATTGCTTAAATATGTGTCTGAAACACTCATGCGTGCACATATGAAGAAGTTGAAGTACTTTGTGCCTGGCTAGTGAGAGTTTATACATCACATCCTCATGTACCACACATACATAGAACATGTTCATACGTGTGTGTAAGCGTTTCAGACCACTAACTGGATCACGTCTCCTCAGATCATTCCTCACTTCTTCCCTCCGTTGGAGTCTCAGGTCCGTCAGGGCGTCTTCAACTCGCTCACCTTCATCATGGAGAAGAGAGTGCTGGCGTGAGAAGCTCACACACACACACACACACACACACACACACACACACACACAATCCACCACTTACTGATTATTGATCAGCACCTCTCTTTCTCTCAGTCACCTCGCTCCGCTGTTTGATAATCCAAAGCTGGACCGAGAGCTTCGGTCGATGCTCAGAGAGAGATTCCCTGAGTTCTGTAGCTCGCCCTCCCCCCCGACTGAAGGTACCTCCCTCTCTCACACACATGGAATACTGCATGTTTGTGCTGTTTCATAGTACTTTAAATATGAATACTGCGATGCTTTGATCCTTCATCGATACACTGATGTGTCCTGCAGTCAAGATGGAGGAGGCCGCTTCCATGGAGATGGATAACAATGTTTTGGACAAAGAGGATGTTTGCTATGATACCACAGAGGCGGCCTTCAGCGACGATGAGGAGGAGGTCCACAGCAAAGGTGAAGAACGTCTTTCAATGAGCCAGTGGAACTCGTTTAACCGGTGAAGCTGTCTGACCGGCTTTCTACCGATTGCTGTGCAGGCAAGAAGAGGGAGTTCAGGTTTCATCCAATCAAAGAAGCTGTGGTGGAGGAGCCCGCTGACATCACTCCATGGCTCGACCAACTAGACGACACCATGAAAGAGAAAGTCCAGCAGCTACAGAAGACCAGGTGCAACGTGGTCTATTGATCCTCTATCAATCACGTCCTGTCTGGGTTTGACACGTACGCAGTCAATACTTATCGCTTGTGTTTCTTAGTGACACGGAGACTCAGTGTGAAGTGATGCAGGAAATTGTGGATCTCATCCTCGAGGTGAGTTTTCTTTGATCACGCCGTGTACTGGTGTGTGCTGTTGTGTACTGGTGTGTGCTGTTGTGTGGTGTTGCAGGAGGACTTTGACTCTGAGCAGATGTCTGCTCTGGCGTCTTGTCTGGCTGAACTGTTTAAAGATCACTTCAGAGGAGACGTCCTGCCAGACGAGATCACAGAGGAGTAAGACTGGCATTTTATTGATTAAAGACTTACCTTTGTGCGTGTTTAGTTGTCACTGAAGTAACTCCACAGAAGGCAACACGTTGTTTTAGGAGGCCTGATAAGCAGCTACGGACTGTCTCTCTGATCACCCGTCTGTCTCTCAGGTCCCTGGAGGAGTCCGTGTCGAAACCCGTCTGCCTGGTCTTCAGGAACCTGGTCACCATGCAGGAGGATAACAGCGGATTCTCAGTGCTGCTCGACATGTTGGCTGAATTCTACCAGAAACAGCCCAAGATTGGGTATCACCTGCTGTACTACCTCAAAGCCAGGTGAGGCGCCATCCCAGCCATACGGAAACCCCGCCCACAATCGCTGTGTGGCTAACTGGCCGGGTCCCACCTGCTTTGTGTGTCTACAGTAAAGCGGCCAACGGGAAGATGATGCTGTACGAGTCTTTTGCTCAGGCGACGGCTCTCGGGGATCTGCACACCTGTCTGATGATGGACATGAAGGCGTGTCAGGAGGACGATGTCCGGCTGCTCTGCTACCTCACGCCCTCAATATACTCTGAGGTACGTACCACAATCACGTGTTGAGGTCTCAAGGTCACCTCAGCGCTCCCAAGGACCCATTGAGGTGTCCTGAGGTCTCGTGGTGTATCTCAAGCTCTCCTGACGTCTTGTGATGGTTCCACCTTTAGTTCCCAGATGAGACTTTGAGGAGCGGTGAGCTGCTCAACATGATTGTGGCCGTCATCGACTCGACACAGGTGAGTCAGTCTCTGACCCCAAAGCTGAGCCAGACCTTCATGACCCGTGTCCTCTGATCAGTAACCAGGATGTGAACTCTAGTTGCAGGAGCTGATGTGTCATGTGATGATGGGGACCCTGGTGATGTTCAGGAAAGACTCTGTCCTCAACATCCTGAGTGAGACACACACACATCTCAGACTGCAGTGGACATGGGTCCTCGCTTGTCCTGCTCCATGTCTCCTTACATGTCCTACTGTGTTCTCTTGTATCGTCTCGTGTCCACACGAGTCACCATGTGTCCTCATGTCTTTGTTTGTTCTCACAAGTCTCCATGTGTCCTCACATGTCCTCACGAGTTTCAATGTTTCCACAGTTCAGTCTCTGGACTGGGAGACCTTTGAGCAGTACAGCACCTGGCAGCTGTTCCTGGCCCACAACATCCCTCTGGAGACAATCATCCCCATCCTGCAGCACCTGAAGTATAAAGGTGAGTCCAGGAGACGCCGTCTGTCCTCTAAAGGGACTCTTCTTCACACTTGTCTCTTCTGTCTGCAGAACATCCAGAAGCCTTATCCTGCCTGCTGCTGCAGCTCCGCCGGGAGAAGTAAGACACCTGTCTGTCAACCTGTCTCTGGGTTGACCTGTCTGTTGACCCGTCTCTCTGCTGTGACCTGTCTGTGTCTCAGGCCCAGTGAAGAGATGGTGAAGATGGTCCTGAGTCGTCCGTGTCACCACGAGGACCAGTTCACCACCAGCATCCTGAGACACTGGACCTCCAAACACGACGACACACTGGGGGAACACATCAAGGCCCAGCTCATCAAGAACAACAACCAGCCCCGCAAGAGACAGAGGTGAGGACAGACGGCCAGAGAGTCCTCTCAAGGAACTAAAAACTAACTAACTAACCCGTCTGTCTCCGTCTCCAGTCTTCGTAGCTCCAGCAGTAAACTGGCTCAGCTGACCCTGGAACAGATCCTAGAGCACATGGACAACCTGAGACTGAGCCTGAGCAACACCAAAAACAACTGTTAGTCCACACACACACACACACACACACACACACACACACACACACACACACACTGGGTGATTATTGTTAAGGGTTCATTGTCTGTGTCCGTCAGTCTTCACCCAGACGCCGATCCTTCAGGCGCTGCAGCACGTTCAGGCCAGCTGTGATGAGGCACACAAGATGAGGTACACACACACACACACACACACACACACACACACACACACACACACACGGTGGGGCTTAACATCACCCTGCGGGCTGATGACATCACTTCCTGCAGGTTCAGCGACCTGTTTGCTCTGGCGGAGGAGTATGAGGACTCTCAGTCAAAACCTCCCAAGTCTCGGCGTAAAGCTCCCGCCTCCTCTCCTCGCTCGCGCAAAGGAGCGGCTCCGCCCACCAACAACGAGGAGGAGTCCGCCTCCAGCAGCGCCTCGGTACGGACGACCTTCGACCCACCGGTGTCCTTGAGTGTTGGGGTCGGACCAACAGTCTGTTCTGTGTTTCAGGAGGAGGAGGACTCTAAGCCCAAAGCCCCCAAGAGGAAGAGGAAAGGCTCGTCGGCCGTCGGCTCGGACAGCGACTGATGAATGCTCTGACCAATCACGTGCCAGCTGCCACTTAGACTGCCTGTAAACCTGGGAGAGGCCACGCCCCCTCCCGACGACATGTACTGACCGCCGTGGGAGGGGCAGGGCTGGACCACAATTAGACTGATGCCGTTTCCACGGAGGAGACTGGCGGGTCTTAGGTCGCCGGGTGGCTTCCGTTTAGCAGTTCTCCCATGATGCACTTGTAGGAGAAACCACGAACTCTGGGAACCAACAGACTGATTTTAATGCAGGGAAGATGATGATGAAATACAATGAAAAAGAGTAGTTGTTTGCGGGTAATTCTGTCTGCCCTTTTTGTATTTTCTCTTTTTTGGAGGGGGGGGGGGGGGGGGGGCCTTGGACTTATTGTGAAGGATCTGGACTTCCTGCTGTTGCGAGCAGCTCTGTCCTGACTGTCGCTGCAGTAAAAATCTCATCGACGGTTCATCAGGTTGTCAGTTAATACATTTTATCAGTTTGTCAAAGTGAAAAACAAAATCTAATGGACTTGGTGTGTGTCAGTTTTTTTCAGGTGGTCTGGTTGTATTTCAGTACTTGGTTCTTCACAGAGGCATCGGTTCTTATTTCAAAACTGCACACGAATGTGGTAAAAGTATGTTAAATCACACGTTTCATTAAATAGATCAAAGGTCATTGATCAAGTGAACCAGTATGATCCACCTGAGCTGTGCCAGTTACCATAGCAACATCCCACAGACCTGCCACTGGTCAGTGGGATTCTTTCCACCTTAATAAACCGCCCAGCGTCTCAGATTGGATGGAGAAAAGGTGATGTTGTGATCTTCGCAATAAAACATTTTATACTTATGTGACGAGTCTTGGCCAATGAGCGTTAAGATCTACAGCATTTTCACACCTTCACTCCAAATCAGAGCTGCCAACTTTCACACAAAATATTTTTTATTTGACTTTTTTGTCAAAAGTGACTTAACGGGGCGAATCAAGCGCCGTTTCCTAGTGTCATTGGCAGCTTTTGTGCCGTCTGCCGTGAAAGCGCGTGTCAGCAGTCTGTGCTGGATTCAAATCACCCCTTAACGTCTCTTCCCAACCACTATCCATTGACCTCTGTGCTAATCACAAGGTCAAGGGAAGATGGTTCGAGTTCATGAGTTAGGAAAAGGCAACTGTGGTGTTTAGGGTATCAACACCACTTTCGAGGTTTATGACAATGCAGAATTGTAAAATATTCTTAGGTTGGTACCTGTTTGAGTGAAAGGATCCGGAAGTAGTGGAGGTCGCTGCCATGATGAGCTGTTGGAACTCTCTAACGCTAAAGGCCTTCAATGCTTCCTTACTTAGCTGCTTCAGCATAGGAAACACCGGAGCATCCTTTACAAAAGGACAGGAGAAAATTCAACAATTCCTTACAGCCGTAATATTGAAATAGTGACGTACCATTCGCGTTCACGAGAACTAACGACCATGACGAAGAAACGCAGATCATGTGAACAAGACTGCAACATACGTGAGACCTGCTATTAAAGCTTTACTTTCAACCAGGTTTGTGTGGTCTGCGTGACTCGGCGCTTGAGACGCATCCCTGCAGCCTTCGCGGTGGACCGGGGCTGGTCCTCCAGCCAAGCGGTCTCTGAAACGGGACGAATGCACGTTGTTAAACCACATGATCGCCTGTAAGTCAGTCGGTGTCTAACGAGAGACGCACCGACACAGCGGGTCATCAGACCGGCTGCTGGTCCGCCTGAAGCCGCAGTCATCCAGACGCGCGTCCTGGAGGAGTCGGTGACGTCATGAACCCGAACACACCGTTTGCGTAATTCACACAACAAATAAAGAGCAGACATTGTGGTTATTTATTACCATGGCGGAAACGTTAAGTGTCTTTACGGAGACACGTGACAGAGATAAGCCACGCCCCCTTCCAGGCGCTTCGCTTTTGGGGTGAACGCACCGTGAAGGCAGAGGAGATTCCATCAATATTGTCTTAAAAAACCGCAACAGCAAACACAATATTAACTTGTATGAAAGGCCTCTTGATCTTTTCTTGCATACAAGCTGTTTAACTGTAAATATGTCCACGCTACGTGGTTCTCCTCCTGGCTCTAAATGTACAGTTAGTTCATAATCACACCTCAAAGGGAGCGAAGCAAGTTCTGTGTCTTTGTGTATTTATTTGTGCAGGACCACTGCAGGGACAACCACCATCAGACAGAACCACCATCAGACAGAACCACCATCACGTAGAACCACCATCAGACAGAACCACCATCAGATAGTATCACCATCAGATAGAATCACGATCACGTAGAACCACCATCAGACAGAACCACCATCAGATAGTATCACCATCAGATAGAACCACCATCACGTAGAACCACCATCAGATAGAACCACCATCAGATAGAATCACGATCACGTAGAACCACCATCAGATAGAATCACCATCAGATAGAATCACGATCACGTAGAACCACCATCAGACAGAACCATCATCCACAGACGCCTGTGGGGAGGGAAGCACAAAGACTTTATGAGAGGGTAATGTTGGTTTATGATGACATTATTTAAAATAATAATGATGGCAGCAGCAGGTGTCTTGCCAAACTAGCCTAGATCCTTCTGATTTGGTGGAACGCCAAAGTCGCCATAAGAGAACCGGCTGGATTATTGGTTGGTTGCGAAAGACTGAAACCAGCCTCGTGGATCAAGTCCACTAAGAAACTGGGTCAGGTTCTTAGAAAGAAGTTCAGCTCCATCCAAAGTGGGATGGATGCCGTCCCTCCTAATCAGACCAGGTCTCCCCAAAACGTCTTCCAGTGATCAACGAAGCCCACATTATTTACTGGGCACCACCTCGACAACCAGCGGCGGAATGACGACATGCGGCTCTACATGACGTCACTGGTCCAGTTTGGGAGGGCCAGAGAAAACTACGGTGTCCGACATTGTTTTAGCGTATGTACACACCGATTCCACATTAACTTTAGTGACCTCCGAGCAACGTAATCGGGAGTCATTGCCGCCGACGTGTATTACAATCTTACTGTATTTACGTTTATCCGTAGCCAGCAGTTTAATGGCCCCCGGCACACATGTAACTATGGTCCCTGGTTTCTCTTCACGGTCCTCGGAATGGAGCTACCGATCACCAGAGGTGGCTTCTCAGCGTCGCTGAGTGGGGAGAAGCGGTTTGAAACGTGACGTGGTTGGTGGTGAACCGTGTGCTTCCACTACAGCGGCTAACGACTGAGCTTTCTAACTCACCAATGTATTATCTTATCTTATTTATTTATCCGTGAGGGAGGCAGAGGAACAGCTAAACACGTGACACACCGAGCAAGAAAGAGCTGGAGAACGTCACATTGCTTCCAAGCCCCGGGCTCGGATGCAGCCTGGCGACTTTCAGACCCAAGCTACAGCGAACACGTGAAGGCATCCAAAACGCTTCTTTGTGGCGGCTGCGCCCTGACGTCACTAACATGCGTCCATCAAATCTACGTAGCTTAGTGGGAGTGGAGTCGATTCCCTAAACACCGCGGTGTCCTTTTCTAACTCCTCGTCAACTCTCCTAACCATCTTCCCTTGACCCTGTGACATTTTCCACAGAGGTCAAAGGTTAGTGGTTAGGAATAGACTTTAGGAGGTAATTTTTTCAACAATGTTTTTTTTTTTTTAATGACGTCACATTACGTAATCACGCACGGCCGGATATCAGCAGCATCTCATCGTTGTGGCGGGTAAGTGGGTTTCTGCAGCTCGGAACCGGACTTTACCGCTAAACTGGATTTAAATGAGAGTTAACGTATCCGTAAAGAGAGCGTAGGACCGGAACGTGATAACTCGGACCGGCTCTCCGGCGCCAGCTCGTGTGGCCTCTGTTAACGGTGTCAAGCTAGCCGGCTAGTAAGGTGTTAGCATCCTAGCTAGAGAGCAGACATCATGATCAAAACAAAGTAACTCCGCTCTTACAAGCTAGCTGTTAGCCGGCACGAGCGATAATGATTAACTTAATTCATCACATAACCTACAGTCATTATGTCAACAAGTGGCTCATCAATAATGTCTTAAACCAAAGTACTCGTATACAAATGTAATTACACTCTCACCGGCCACTTTTTCAGGTCCACCTTGCTAGTTAAGGTTGGAGCCCGTTTGCCTTTCGAACTGCCTTTAATTCTTGGAGTTGTACTTTCAACTAGGTGTTGGAAACGTTCCTCACAGATGTTGCTCCATATTGACGTGACAGCATCACGCAGTTGCTGCAGATCTATGATGTGAATGTCCCGTTCCAGCACTAGAAACCAGTCTGAGATGATATGAGCTTTGTGACATGGTGCATCATCCTGGTGGAAGCACACTGGGGTTATAAAGGGATGGACATGGTCAGCAACAATACCTGGGTAGGCTGCACAATTTAAACCCTGCTGAATGAGTTCTAAGGGGCCCAATGTGTGTCTAAGTCCCAGTAATCAGCAGTTTGTCACGTACTCAGACCAGCCCGTCTGGTACCAACAAGCATCCGCCTTAAAGTCCCTTTTCTTTCCTGTTCTGATGCTCGTCATGGTCTCCCCATTTTTTCACAGGTCATGTTTCTGCACAATGTGTGCCGCACGCAAACTCCTCCGACTCAGCCCGTCCACCCGGAGCCTCAGAGCGCCCCGCTGCAGTCCTCAGCTCACCTCCCATGATGCTTTTCCCCCAGCCGCTGCAGGGAGCGCCACTCAGGAGGAGGGGCAGGTGGGAGGGGGGTACTTGCTGGTGGAGGAAGACACGACCGACTCCAGACTAGTCATCACCATGGGTACAAACACACACAAACACACACAGACTTGTGTGTACTTTCTGTAGCAGTGTCTCATTTCAGCGGCTGCATTCTTCAAGGAGCTCTGCCTTTGAGGTCAACGACCACATAGGCTTCACCTAGAAGGCTACGGGGGGATTTCCTGTTTGTGTTTCCTGTCCCGTTGCTTAGCAACTGGCTGGGCTTGACAGTAAAAGCTTTATAACTGGATAAAAACGTGTAAGAAAGGTCAGGTTTACCTTTTAGAGCATGATATAATGCACAATGAGAGAAGAACATTTCACATTTCTGCCCGAATAAAGTGTTATAAGAGCAGTTTCTTCTCTTGTTTTTTATTTGTATTTAAAACACATTGGTCACCAACGTCACGTAACTTCAGTGATTTTATAAACTAACATGTGATCCTATTATAACACTTCTGTGGGCAGATATTTCATTTCAGTACTTGAATAAGATCAACTCAATCTTCATCGGCCTGCAATTCATGATGGGATATGCTGGTGCGTAAAAGATCTCTGTCTGTCTTTCTCGCTGACCTCGTCTCTGTCTGTCTGACAGAGGACAGGCCGGTGAAGGCACCGAGGAGGAGAGCGGTGAGGAAGAAGAGGAGGAAGCTGACACTGGAGGAAGAAGAGGAGGGTGGAGCCTCAGACAGCAAGGAGGAGGAGGAGGAGGAGGAGGCAGGGGCCGAGGTCGAGATTGACAGGCAGCTCGACCAATCACTGGAGACCAAGTCCAAACAGCACAACCTCACCACTGTGAACGTTAGAAACATCATCCATGTAAGTTCATCTAATCAGAAAGCAGTTCTACTATAATCACTATTATTATTAATACTATAATATGCATGACCTCTGATCTACAGGAAGTGATCACCAATGAACATGTGGTGGCCATGATGAAAGCTGCAATCAACGAGACAGAGGCCGTCCCCGCCTTTGTGAGTCCCTCCGACTGTCGTCCAATCAGAGTGCTCAGTTTGAATCATTCAAATGTTCTCATTCTATTATGTTTCTATTCTACAGGAACCCAAAATGACTCGATCCAAGTTTAAAGAAGTCGTGGAGAAAGGAGTGGTGAGACATATCTGTCTGTCTATCTGTCTGTCCTTTTCAGTCTGTCCCCTTACTGGTCCGCCTCTCTTCCTGTCTGTCTCTCAGGTGATTCCAGCCTGGAACATTTCCCCCATCAAGAAGACGAGTGACGTCAACAAGGTGAAACTTTTAATATGTTCCATGTCGAAGTGTCCCCGAGCAAGACACCTGACCCCTAATTGCTCCCTGGGCAAAAATGTGAAAAATCCGTGGGTTTAAAGTGTGATGTAAGTCGCTTCGGATAAAAGCGTCTGCTGAATGACCTGTAATGTGATATTTAAAGTTAGCCGCCCTGCGTTCCTCCGGGCCGGCCGATTGTTAGCGGCACCGAGCCGCTCCGTCTCTCCCTGCCGGCGGTCGAAGCCCCGGGTTAAACCTCCCGCGGCGCACCGGACACATTTCCTCCAACCCACCGCCTCGCACCGAGGCCGATGCTCCGCCCGATGCTCCGCCCGATGCTCCGCCCGATGCCCCGCCCGATGCCCCGCCCGATGCTCCGCCCGATGCTCCGCACAATGCCCCGCCCGATGCTCCGCCCGATGCTCCGCCCGATGCCCCGCACGATGCTCCGCCCGATGCTCCGCACAATGCCCCGCCCGATGCTCCGCCCGATGCCCTGCCCGATGCCCCGCACGATGCTCCGCCCGATGCCCCGCCCGATGCCCCGCCCGATGCTCCGCACAATGCTCCGCCCGATGCCCCGCCCGATGCCCCGCACAATGCTCCGCCCGATGCCCCGCACGATGCTCCGCCCGAAATAGCATACTTTTATTACTATATGCGATGATATTGTCATCAGTGGCATAAAATGGTCTAATAAATTGCAATAATATCTCAATGAATGTTTATTGTAACGATATCGTGACAGCGCTACCACTGACGGTCAATCGTTTTGTGAGACCGCATTAATGCGAGAAAAAATAATTGTCAGCATAATTAACGAATGTACACTGAGACAAGCAAGTTGTTTCTAACAAAATGTAGTTGTTGCTCAACATGAATTGAAAGAGGAATTAAGATCCAAGATTAAATGAGATATTATGATTGATTACCAATTAAAGGCGAGTGTTGAATTGATCATGTTTAGTTCACATTGCTGCTTCTCATCTTTGAGGACGCTGTAAAGCGCGCGTGGTGTTTTCTTTGCATCATCAAACGAGGCTGTTCCTCTTTCTCTTTTTATCCGTCTTCAGGCTCCTCAGTTCATGGACATCCATTTGGCTGAAGAAGACTCCTCTGATGAAGAGTACCACCCTGATGAGGAAGACGAGGAGGAGGAGACGGCAGAAGACGTGAGGCTCTGCTCTGATGGGCTGCTGCACAGGTTCGTACTGACGATTGATCGACGGCTGTGTCTGCAGACCTTTCAGGAGAGCGACATGGAGAGCTCCGCTTCTTCTCCCCGAGGAACTCGGCTGAGCAGACTGGAGGAGGACAGCTGCAGCCCCTGGCAGGTAACTCGTCATCATAACGGCTCGGAAAGCCACCTTCTCTCTGCCCTGGTTGGTTGAACCTTTGTCACGTGACAACACAGACTTCCCGGAGCCGCTCCAGACGTTTGAGGACAGAGTCTGTCTCAATGGGCCCGCCCCCTCCTCCCAATGTTCCTCCAACCAAAGCGGCCCCTGATACCACCTTCCTGGAGAGACTCCATGCTGTGGAGGAGGAACTGGCTGTGTGTGTGGAACCCTACCAGGTACAACACTGACAATGTACTAGTTGGGTCTTGAGGACGGGTCAGGAGAACCTTCAGACTGCACCATTGTTGTGTTCTAAATCCTCTATCGATGTATTTCATTGATTATGTGTCTGTCAGCCTCTGCCTGAGTCTGAGGTGAGTCTGATGGCGTACCGGACTCGCTCCAAACGTCCTCTACGTGACGTCCCACTCGGCCGGTTGGAGGCGGAGCTCCGAGCTCCAGACATCACACCCGACATGTATGAGTCTAGCTCCGCCCACGAGGACAGGGATTGGACTGATTGGCTGAGGGGCCTGATGACATCAGACATGGAAAACGAAGGTGTGTGTGTGTGTGTGTGTGCAGTGATTTAAAGCAGAGGTCTTCAACAAGGGGTCCGTAGAACCTTTATGGTTGATAAGACAATTTTATTTATCTATTTTGTCTTTTTCAACCAATTTTTCAGAATTGTATTCATTGTCTTTTGAATACACATTAACATGAATCCAACATGTTGTAGTAAACGGATAATTGGGTGGAGGAGACGTTGTCTTTCAGTCCCACAGCAGCTCTCACTCACGTACGACGTCACGGGCACCAGCCAATCAGATCGCGTTTATGCTCACGTCTAAAGAGCTCAAAAGTAAAAGATGGTGGTCCAAACCCCTTGGAAAGGGGGTCCCCGCTCCATCTCACCATCAGTCTGGGGGTCCTTGTACGGCGGCAAATCACTGTCAAAATTCAAGAGCGCGAATCAGGTTGATGCGCGTAAATCAAACGTCCGCGGAGCGTGAACTTCGTTGCTCGCGAGGAGAATCTCTGCTCGCGCTCAAAGGTGTTTTCTACGCGCTCGCTGTCGTTCTTTTTGACAGTGAGGGGGCGGAGCCAGTCACCATGGTCTCTACACCTGATTGGTTACAAACCCCGTCTGTGGATTGGCTGGAGCGAGTAATAATGGCGACTCATGCTTTGACATTTTCTTCTCACTCTTCTAGAGGAATGTGATGACGAAGATGATCCAGAGTACAACTTCCTGGCCGACACCGATGAACCCGATGTGGAGGATTACCGTGACGACAAGGCTGTCCGCATCACCAGTCAGTGAGACCAAATCATCAAATGTTCATATTCATGGCATCGTTATTAATGATCTGACGGTGTTTGTGCTGCAGAGAAGGAGGTGAATGAGCTGATGGAGGAGCTGTTTGAAACGGTGAGTCTTAACCCTGTAAACAGATGGACACAGCTGGGTCTGTCCTAGGTAACAAGATCCAGTGGGTGGAGCCTTAGGACCAGTGGGAGGAGCAACATGACCGGTGGGTGGAGCATTAGAATAAGTCTGTCGAGCCTTAGGGTCAGTGGGTGGAGCCTTAGGGCCAGTGGGTGGAGCCTTAGGACGAGCACGCTCCACATCATGACGGCTAACAATACAATCACAAGAAATATCACAAACTGGGATGTTCACAGCCCAGTAGAGGAGGTTAAAATATCCCAGAATACACCTGCAGCGTGGATGTTCACTTCATAGACAGACTAACAAGCTGCGGCTACAGTGTGAATGTTAGTTACTGATGGGCAGCTGTGTGTGTGGTTCTCCTGTCATCAGGGTGTGAATGATGTCATGTTGTGTTAAAGCGCTGAAAAACGCTGTACAAGTACAGTCCATTTACCACAAGACAAAATGTCCAACAATCACAGAGATCGCATCTGGATTTCAGTTGAAAGAAGACCTTGTAGCGGGGCAGGATGTAGAAGATGGAGGCCATGAGGAAGAGGAGGAGCCACAGGAAGAGTGTGTTCAAACACAGACCGATCAGGAGCACAACTTGTATGTAACACACTGAGACCCTCACCGAGACCCTCACTGACCCCGTAGCTGTGACTGGGGGTTATTAGTGCGATACCCGTTTACTGTCCCTCAAGCCACTCCGCACGGCTGCTGTTTAACGCCTCTGAGGAGCAGGTCTGTGGAACCTTTCACATAGCAGATCGGCCATGAGGGCATTTGGTCGGTACGCCAGCACACGAATGACCTTTAGGATGACATTTTTGAATCAGACGAGCGCCACAAGCAGCCACAAGCAGCATGTAAGGAGCACGACGCGAACCAGCCTACATCCAGTTCGGGGGATGAAGAATCAAAGCAGAGCATCCCCCTCCTGTGCATTGGCCTCATAGAAATATGTAGACAAGAGGGCTCGGGGGGTGGTGGTTATCTCTGCTATGCTTTTTCCTGTGCGGCAGAAGTTGTGGGCAGCCGAGCTAACTGCAGCCTCAGTCACTTCTCTCCATATTCTCTAGTTTCAAGCCAAGAGAGAGAACACAGGCAGTGAGCTAAGCTGCTGCAGAGGCAATGACGACCGAAGCATGCATCATATGAGTGTGCGACCTCAATAACGAGCGTTACTGCAGCCCTATGATGGGAGTCTCTTCAGACAGCAGTGATATAAAGCCTTGCATCTGCCGCTAGCTACCCACTACGCCTGGGATCCTACCCACACACAGCGCCACTGGACTGACTGCTGCCCCACTCGCCCTTTTTTTTTAGAC